CGTTTTTGGTTCGCGAGAAGGCGTCGCGGCCGTCATTTTTTGCGGGTCCAGGTCCGTCGGTTTCGGCCTTAGGCCGTTTTCATTAGAGGGTGGTTTACTAGAGGGAGGTCTGCCCACCGCCGATATGGGCGTTTGCCCGCTGCCTGGCCAGGGCCTGCAAGGACACCGCGACGGCCCGCAGGAGCACCTCATGGGCCGTCTGGGAGACCTCTGAAGCATTCTGGAGGCCATCCCGAGCCGAAAAGCATGAGAAGCGAACGATATAACAACATGATAAGGCATGGCGACCTTCGGTCGATCCCGCCACCGCGCCTGGGTCGTAGGTCGGACGCCCCCTGAATGCCGATGGTTTTCTTGGGGGGCCTCCCTGAGGCTCATTGCAGGTGGTATTCGGGATGTCTCGGGCCCCTCGGGGCCGCTGGGGGGGTTCTCGAGGGCCACTCGGGGTCTGATCTGATCCTCTTCAGGGCCTTTTGGGGCTCCTGGGGGCCCTCGTGGGTCCCCCAGGCCATCTTGCAAAGCTTTGAAGCACCTGATGAGCCGCCAGGCAGCCCTCTGAAGCAGTCAGGCGGCCTCTGAGCCGACAAGCATGAGAAGCGAAAGATATATGATATCGAAAACGGCCACGGCGAATGACCGCCGCCCCACGCCATATGGCGGCACCTACGCGGCCGAACGCTGCGGCCAGAGCCCGGACCAGCCATCGGACTACGCGGCCCCCCGGCCCGGCCCCTCGGCCCCCCCCACCGCGGGCGGCGACTTTCCGGGTGCATCTCCTAGAGGGGGCGACGCCAGCAGCGGCGCCGGCGTCCGCGGCCCCCGCCGACGGCGGCGGCGGCGGCGGCGAGGCTTTGGGAGCGGCCGCAAGCGCGCGGAGCTGGTCGCGGCGGCACTGCGGGTCGCCAGGCTGAAGGCCCACGGGCCCGAGGAGGTCTTCGCGGGCCCCGCGCCGGCACGCCGGCCTCAGAACAACCGCGCAGCCCCGCCCTTGGCGCGGGGCCGGGAGCCCCCGCCGACATTGGGCGGACGCCGAGAACGACGACGAGGAGTCGGCGCCAGGGTTGCCGACGCTTCCTGCCAGGCGTTGCCGCGCTTTCCGCAGGACTGGCGCGGCGCAGGGCCGCCGAGGCGCAGGCGGCGCAGCGGGCAGCGGACGCTGTCAGCGTTCGACTTCGAGCGCTCGCGGCGACCGCGCTCGCCCCGGGCGCGCGCCTTGCCGCGCCCCCGAGGGTGTTCGCGGGGAGCGCCTCCACAGGTTCCCGGCCGCTCTCCCCCCCGCCTGCTTCGCCGCGGCCGCCCTGACCAATGGCCGGAGGCCAAGGCGAGGGGCGCCCCGGGCAGCGACGACGCTGCAGGCGTCGCGGCGGCTGGGCCTCTTCGGAAGTCCTCGGCGGAGGAACGCGCGACGGTCGAGGTTGGGCCCCCCCGCCCTCGAGGCCCCGGCCGGCGCGGCGCCGGGGCCAGCGGCCCCGTCCTCAGCGGGCCCTGCGGCCAGGGCCAGCGGCGCAGCGGCGCTCTGGACAGCGAGGGCGCCGCCGACGGCGCGGCGGCGGCATGGCGCTATCACCCCCCCGGGCGCCGCCCGGGCGGCAGCCCGCGATGGGGGGGCCTTTTGGCGCGGACCGAACGGACGCGCGGGGGCCCGCGCCCCCCGGGCGCCGCTGCAGCGCGCCCTTTGCGCGCGGGCATCGATCTCCCTCGGGGCGCCCCCTCGGGCAGCGCGCCCCCCCCCTCCTGGCCCGGGCGCCCCGCGGAGGTCGAGGCCCTCACTCTCGGGGCGCCCTTGGCGGAGGTCGAGGCGAGCGCGGACCCCCCCCCCGCGGGCGCGGCCCAGCGGGAGTCGAGCGCGGCGGCGCCTGGGAGCGAGCTGCTGGTTTACCTCCCTCCCAGGGCGCCGGCCCTGGTCGAGGTCGAGGCGGCGGCCCACCCCCCTCCCGGGGCGCCCCCAGCAGATGTTGAGGAAGCCCTTCCTCCTGGGGCGACATTGGTAGAGGTTGATTGCGGGACTAGCGGAGGCGGCCGCTTCGGCGGTCAGTCTCGACCAAATCGGATTGCTGGAGCATTGCCACGGACTTGTCTTGAGCACGCTCAGGAGGTGGGCATCGGAAGTGGAGGGCGCCCAGAAGAAGAAGCGGACCGCCACTGCTTCTGCAGGTCCTCACGAGATCAGCCAGTTCTTGCTCTTTGTGACGCCCCAGCAGGTGCCTTTGCTGATCCTGGCGCAGACGGTGCTGGCGAGGGTGGCCCACCTCTCGGCCACGAGGATGCGCGGCCACAACTGCCAGACGACGCCGAACGCATGGGCGTGGAGGTGAACGCCCACGAAGCCCAGGAACCTGTGAAGTCTGAACGTCGAAGGCGTGCGATGGTCTTCGCGGATGCCGAGCTCCTGCATCGCTTGGACGTCATGCGGATCACCATGGTTCCAATCATGGAGATGTTCTGGGGGTTCGATTATCTCGGCGGCGACGCTCGGGAGGAACGCCAGAGAGCGGTTGAAGCTGAGGCGCTTCGCCTCGGAGTTGGCGCGGAGGCTGCTCAAGTTCGGAGGACATATCGCATCGCCGTGTGCGCCAAGGGTTCTGTGGAACAGATGTTCTTCCATAAGCTGAGATTCCTTTCTACAATTCATCGGTCACGTGGCGAACCATTGAGGGCAAGCACTGCACACTGCTCATCAATGCGTATGTATTCAAGACCATGTCTCGAACTGGTGCGAAGTCGGAGTGCGATTGCTGCTCTGCACAGGCGTTACCCCCATCGCGCGTCCGTTCCTGCTCATAAACGATCCAACCAGCAGACGAGATGATCCACGAGCCCGGCTGCATCGCGGACCCTTTCTGGAGAGAGTTCCTGTGTGCGAATCCTGACTTGAAGCCTCCGGGTACAAGAGCGCTCGGCTGGTGCAGTTGGCATTGCTGCACATCCCAAGCATCGTGAGGATCGAGGCGGTCCACGCTTCTATACGGCAGATTCTCAGGTCAAGATCGGCGACTGACATGGCGAGCTTCCCAGATACATCCAGCGATTTCTTGTTGAAACGACTTCGGACGCGAGAGAGGGCGCCACCGATGTGACGTGAGATCTACATGTGCATGCTCACGAAGCCTCATGAGTTGTTGCAGAGCCTGTTCGTCGTCGTGGAGGTGGCGGGGCATGAAGGGCTTGCACGTCTTCCACAGGTCATGGCCAGGCCAGGGACTTCCATGCGCTCGCCGCCCAGCATAGGAGGAGTCGGCTTGCAGGGGGGGGCGGGCGCGGGGGGGGCGCCAACGACCGCGCCGATCCCATCGCGGCCCGCTGCCCCTTCCCGGGACTCTCAGGAATCCTCCGGGCCCAGTCGGCCTCGCAGTCGGCGCTGGCGCCGTCGCCCGCGAGCGCCAGCCGGCGGGCGGGCCGACCTTGTTGCGCATGTTTGGCGCGAGAGGCCCGCGCAGGCCTCGCGCTGTGCCCGCGCCCCAGGGCGACGGCCCAGGCCCTTCTAGCCTCCCGCGCTGACGCGATGGCCTCGCGCGCGGCGCAGGAGCGGGCGCCGCCGACCGTTCGGTTCGGCCCCGCGCACTTCTAATGCGAGAACGCAAAGCCCCCCATGCTGCTCGCGCGCTTTGCGCGCTGAGCAATGCGATGCAGTTGCGACGGCCGCGCGTTCAATTGGAAACCGCAGCGCAAGTTTCCATTCCGGCGCGCGGGGCGGTGCATGAACTTACAGATGCGCCGACGGTCGAGAACTCGCGCGCGCGCCCGCGCCTGCCATGTTGGGCGCGCGCACTGGACCCGGACATCTGTGGCTCGGCCGCCCGATGCGCCCCAAAAATCGCTCCGCCTCCCCCCCCGCCCCCCTCCCCTTCAAAACTCTTTTGCGCTCCTGGAAAAACAATGCCACCGAGGCGGGGGCTCGGGCCGCGGCCTGATGGTCTCCGGGGCACAGGGGAATCGAAGGAATCAGCACGGAATCAGTACAGAATCAAAACGGAATCGGCACAACTGCGACCCCTGATTCTAGCGGAATCAAAAGAATCAGTACGGAATCAATACGGAATCAAAGGTGGAATCGGTGATGGAACCAGAATCGGCCAGAACGGGGAAGTAGGCCAGAATCGGTGCCAGAACTCATGGAGAGAGGCCTTTTGTTCCTTGAGTTCACTGCGGCGGGTGCGCGGCGCGGGCGCGCCGCGCGACTTCGCTGGTTCAGCGAGGCGCGCAGTCGGCGTTCAGAGTGAACAGGTTGTTTTCAGGGCGATATCCTGGCGGCGCGCTGGCGCATTGCGCATTTGCGTATTCCTGGCGGGCTGTTTGAGGGCGACCCGGCAGCGTCGGCCGAATGGCCCGCAAATACTGCGCGGCCGATCGCGCGCCCCATGCGGTGACGTCGACCGCCGTGTGCCGCGACGGCCGCGCGCCCCGGACCGCGCCATTGCCGCGTTGGATTGGACGGCGCAGCGCCCGTCCTCCAAAAGTCGTCACATGCATATCGCGCGTGTCGAGCCAGCAGCAATCGCTCCCAAAAGCAGCCTTGACAGGCGCACCATGCCCTCTGTCGCCCGGTTCCGATCCACATGATAGTTTCTTAGGATGCGCTTGCGCGAATGTGGGCGCGCGGGCAAGTAACGCGTGCGCGCGCTTGGCGCAGCCTGGGAAATCCAACATGGAGCCCCCCGGTGGCGCGGGGCGCCGGCGACGCCTCCGCCCGCCTCCCGCGCGCCCGACCCCCCCCGCAAGCCGACTCCTCCTAGCCCAGTACAGGGTCATCACCGACGAGGAACGCGAGTGCTTCAAGAGGCTCGGCGCAGAGGGCACGCAGAAGCACTCCGATAATCCCAAAGGCCGATGCCTCGGGCCCACCTGTCAGGGATGAGGAGAGGGCGGCAGCTAGATCACAGAAGCATGATATGTGCGAAGCCTTGCTGCGTGACATACAACGCGATGAATTACAGAGGGATGCATCGCTGGCCAGTGCGGACCACGTTGTCGCCAGGAGCCGTTCTTGACACGATGCAGAGGACCTTGCGAAGATGGCAAGGAAGACTTTGAGCGACCACAAGCCCAAGAAAAGAGAAGATGAGCGCATGTCCGTTACCAAGTTCACCGAGACAGTGGGCGAGGGCCGCTTGGCGCTTGCGACCGCAAGGCTACAGGGAGCTCCATTTGTTGCACGACACCTGATACCGTCTCCGAGCCTTGCCGACAACCAGGAGTTCCTGATTTCGCACCAGATACAGAGAGTCGTGCATCGAACGCCTCTGCTTGCATGTTGCATCGAAGGGATCCCAACGGTCGCTCCGCATGTCGAGTTGCTGATGCTGAGTCTCGCAGGCGGCGTTTCATGATTTGCCGCAAGGATTGCGACAAGTTCCCGAGGGAGACCAACAATGAGAAGATGCTCAGGGAGTGTCTCATGGCAGGCCGCTGCATCCACCAGTGCCCAGGCGACAAGCGGCTGCGCCCCTTCGGGCCCGGAGCCCACAACAGGTTGAAAATGCCGGTGCGCATTTGCACGCGGAAGGTCTTGGACGGTGACTTTTCCATGACGTTCATTGGGGCTGGCGATGATGATATATATCCGGATGACCGCCACCCTCCCGCCGAGGTGCTGGACATGGTCAAAGTCGCGCGCCTGGCCGACCTGTCGCTGAACCCGTTCGCGCCCGCGTGCCAGGCCGCGACTGCCGCGGCGTTGCCAGCGCAGCTCGGCGACCCTAAGGAGCGGCGGCACGCGATGCCCATCTCGATCCAGGCTTTAGGAGTTGAGGAGAAGAAGAAGGATGCTGATGATAACGAAGGTGCTGACAGTGGCGACGAGGAGGGGGCAGAACGCGAAGCAGAGGCGAAGGGGGGGGGGGTGCGATAGGAGGAGGGGGGGGAGGGGGGAACGAGGAGGGAGGAAGGGAGAGAGGATGGAGGAGCGAGGGGAGGAAGACGGAGGAACGATGGGAGGGGGCAGAACGGGGGAGGAGGACGAATAATACTGTTTGAGCCCATCGCTTCCCTGGTGCGATCGGCAACTCAAAGATCGAAGACGCCTTCGGCGACCTCCATTCGCAAACCCTGCCTTTTGGATATGCCAATGTGGATATCTTTTAGCCGTCAACTGGCCATGAGGGGCCAGCTTCTCGACTGTCGCGGGTGGGCCCCGGGCCACTGTTAGAAGCAATCGTTGGGCACCTTGGTGCGTTAAAACGTTTCGGGGCCCCGCGCGGCCGCCTCGGGGCACTTTCGGGCCTTCTTGGGCCGACGGCGGGGCCATTGTGGGATCCTGCAGGGGCGCCTGGGGCCGTCTTGACCTTGCAGCGCCTTGGGGTGCCCGATGTCCTTCGGCGGGGGCGCCCCCGCGGCCGCCTCTGAAAAACGCGCGCGGATTCTGCGAAAGCGCGCAATCGACGAGCGCGCTTCGGCGGGAGGCCGCGGGGGGGCGCCAGCGCGGCGCATTCGACGTGCGGGTCTAGAAGCCAGATGGGCGAATGATATATCAGGCCGCGCCCCCTCGCCGTCGCTGCGCCCCGCTGAGGCGATTGATAAGGGGGCACGCCTGCACGTGCGCCACTGCTCGCAAAATTTCACATGTGCCATCGAAGGGCTGGCGTTGCAAGGTTTGCAGCCTGCACGTTAGCACCACTATGCGAGCGCGCGACATTTTACCATCGCGCAGACGGAAAAACTGCCGCGGGGCCCGCGGGGCGAGTCAGCGCCGCGCCCAAACAAGAACAAAACCCACAATTCGAAAACGTCGCGCCTCAGGCGCAATGTTTCCGTTGCAACACCGCAGCAACGCGCTGTCGAAACTAAGAGGCGCCATGCGTGCCGCCGCGCAGCGCGACGGCGCTGGAGGCTTCGCATATTCTACCTGTGCGCTCATGCTACCAACGTGCCAGTGGCAGCGTGGGCGCCCGTCGCCCGTGTCGCGGCGGCCGCGCTCGCTCCGGTGGCATCGACGCAAGTGTTGCGCGCGACATTGATACATGGGCCCCGCCGCCCCCTTGCCTCGCGGCAGCCCTACCACTATTCCTGCCGACCTCACAAAAACACCATGGCGAAACCGACGCCCGCGTGCGACCGTCTGGCGCGGCCCCAGCACGCGGCGCTGCACATCCTTCGGCGACGCCCCGCCCACCGCCGATCCAACCGCGCGCGTTCCCGCGCGCAAAGGGCAGCGCGAGCTGTCGTTTTCGCGCGGGGAACGCGCTCGCGCGTGGCCAGAGCGCGAAACACGCCACTGTTGGCAGGACCAAATCTAACATCGGAGCGCCCGCTCCGAGGAGTAGGTCCGCGCTGCCACCCGCCAGGCCACATTCGAGAAGTTTTGAACGAGCGCGTTGGCCCCACCAGGCCACATTGGCGGGCCGTTGCCCGAGTTCGACTCCAGCGCCGCCCCGAGGAGCGGGTCCGCGTTATTCCCACCGGGCCACATTGGAGAACGCGTGCCCGAGTGCGTTGCTCCCGCCAGGCCACATTGGAGGACTGTGCCTGAGTTCGGCCCCATCGCCCGCCCGAGTTGGTCAGCATTGCCCTGCCAGGCCGCATCAGGGGGCGTTTCCCCGAGTTCGTCTCCAGCGCCGCCCCAGCGAATGGGCCCGCGTTGCTCTCACCAGGTCACATGGGAGGAGTTTTGCCCGAGCGCTTTGCCCCCACCAGGCCACGCTGGGGGACTTGTGCCCGAGCTCGACCCCAGCGCCGCCCCGAGGATTGGGTCGCGCTGCCCCCACCAGGCCACATTAGAGGAGTTTTGCCAGAGGGCGTTGCCCCCGCCAGGCCGCATTAGAAGACTCTGCCCGAGCTCGGTTCAAGCGCATCCCCGAGGAGTAAGTCCGCGCTGCTCCTGCCAGGCCACATTGCAGGAGTTTTGCCCGAGCGCACTGCCCCCACCAGGCCATCTTAGAGGACGTTTGCCCGAGTTGGGCCCCGCCGCCTGCCCTAACAGCGGGTCACCACGCGCAGAGCGTTGCCCGCCGCAAATGGTTTCCGCGTTGCATGGCGTTCGTGATTCGCTGGAGAGGAGGGCAGCGCAGCGTTCCCTCCTCGAGATGGGGAGCGCCGCGAGGGCCCCCAGTTCCCCCTCGGCGCTCCAAGTGGTCGCTGGCCCCCCCCCTTGGAGAGTTATACATCTCCCATGACTCAGCCAACGAATTGCGCGTGTATCTCAAGACGTTTCCAGGCAAAGGCTTCTTGGGCACCTCTTGACACCCCACCAGGCCTCGCCAGAGGATTGTTGCCCGAGTTCGGCTCCAGCGCTTGCCCGAGTGGGAGGTCGGCGATGCCCCGTCAGGTCACGCCGTGGGATTTGCGATCGAGTTCGATTCCAGCGCCGCCCCGAAGCGTAGGGCAGCGCCGCCCCCCGCCAGGCCGCATTCGAGGAGTTTTGCCCGAGCGCGTTGCTCCCACCAGGCCACGTTAGAGGACTTTTGCCCGAGGTCGGCCCCGACGCCTCCCCGAGGAATAGGTCAGCCTTGACCCCGCCAGGCCGCATGAGGGGATGTTCGCCCGAGGGCGCTGCCCCCACCAGGCCACATTGGAAGACCCCTGCCAAAGTTCGGCTCCAGCGCCGCCCCGAGCAGCAGGCCAGCATTGCCCCACCAGGCCACATCACAGGACTTTTGCCCGAGTTCGATTCCAACGTCTCCCCGAGGAGCAGGCCCGCGTTGGTTCCACCAGGTCACATCAGAAGAGTTTTGCCCGAGCGCGTTGCCCCCGCCAGGCCGCATCAGAGGACGCTTGCCAGAGTTCGACTCCATCGGTGCCCCGAGGAATAGGTCCGCGTTGCTCCCGCCAGGCCACGTCAGAGGAGCGTTGCCCGAGTGCGCAGCTGCCGCGAGGCCACATTAGAGGGCGTTTGCCCGAATTCGACTCCATCGCCGCTCCGAGGTATAGGTCCGCGTTGCTCCCGGCAGACCACAGAGCGTTGCCCGAGCGCGTTGTCCCCGCCAGGCCACATTGGAGGACTGTTGCCCGAGTTGGGCCCCATCGCCTGCCCGAGCAGTAGGTCATCATTGTCATGCCGGGCCACATCAGAGAACGGCTGCCCGAGTTCGACTCCAGCGCCGCCCCGAGGAGCGGCGCCACCAGGCCACATCAGAGGGGTTATGCCCGAGAGCGCTGCTCCCACCAGGCCACATTGGAGGACTTGCGTCCGAGCTCGATTCCAGCGCCGCCCCGAGGAGCAGGCCCGCGCTGCCCGCCGCCAGGCATCACCAGAGGACTTTTGCCCGAGGGCGTCGCTCCTACCAGGCCGCGCTAGAGCATGTTTGCCCGACTTCGACTCCCCGCGTTGCTCCCGCCAGGCCACATTGCACGATTTGTGCCGTAGTGCGTTGCTCCCACCAGGCCGCGTTGGAGGATTCCTGCCCGAGTTAGGCCCCAAGGACCTGCCCGAACAGCGGGTCACCACGCGCAGAGCGTTGCCCGCCGCAAATGGCCGCCGCGCTGCACGGCGCTCGTTATTTGTGAGACAGGGGGGGGGGGGGGGGGGGCACGCAGCGTTCCTGACTCGAGGGGGGCGCTGCGAGGCCCCCATTTTCCTCTTGGGCTCTCCAAGTGGTCGCCGGGCCCCCGCTCGGGGAGTTTTCTACCCCCCGAGACTTAGCCAGCCCCCCCCCCCTCTCCCACCAGACCCCTCGCCCCCCCACCAACAAAAATGACATCCGCCCTCCCCCCACCCCCCACCCCAGCCTCTGCATCGCGCGTGAGATCCGCGATGCCGCGCCGCACGCTCGCCCATCCCCTCCCCCCGCATTCTGGGCCGCGCGCCGCATGTTTGTTTGCAGACAGAATTGTAGCCATCGCCGCGGGTTCGTCAAACCTGGCCAGGGCATCGCGACCCCACGCCTTCGCGGCGCGCTCGCGTTCGATGCGCGCTGCCTGTCGCACGCGCGCGCCCCCCCGCTGCCAATTGCGGCCTTTGCTCGCGGCGAAGGAGGGCCCGCCGCCGCCGCGGCGCGTTTGCCAACCGCCTCGCGGCGGCGTAGCAGCTGTGCACGAGCGCAGCGCGCGCCCTCGCCTCACGCCCGCCGCCGCCCATCCTTCCCCCGCTGAGCGCGTAGCCATCAGACGCAGCGACCTCCTGCCAGCGCGTCGGCCGTTGAGAACGCCGCCAGACCAGCAAGCGCGCAACGCCCCACAACGCCGCCAGTCCACCGCGCCCATGCCAACCCGTGGTAGCCACGCACTTCGCTCGCTTCACAGCGCCGAACCTTCGTTCTTCGCTCCGCGCGGCCTATGTAGCGTATGTTGTGTGAGTCCAATCTACGCGCTGTAAGCTGTGTGGTGCTAGCTATGCCGTGACTGCTTCGTTTGCTTCCACCCGCTCCAAGACACGCAGGTGGCACCCGTAGCGCCTGATGGGCAGCGGTTGCCATCCGGTGACCGCCCTGGACTGCCCTGGGGAACGGGTCCAGACTTCGGGACCCCATTATGTCATGTAAGCTATGCGGTGTGAAGTAGACAGGACAGGTATGCGGTGCAAGCTACGTGGTGCAAGGAGAGTCGTGTAAGTTACGCGGTGTGAGTATTTGGTGTGGTTTATGTGGTGCAAGATCTGTTATGCAAACTATGTGGGGTAGGCTTGCGCCCGAGGCGGCCATGAGGCGGCCACGGGCGGCAACGAAGCGCCACCTCGCCAGACCCTCCCAGCACACGAGGCGGCCACAGGGCGGCCACAAGGCGAAAGAGTGGCGACCGCCTCGCCGGAGCTGCCCAGCGCACAAGGGCGGCCACGAGGCGGCCACGAGGCGGCCACGTGCCGACACCTCGCCGGAGCTGCCCAGCGCACGG